TTTCGACCACTACATCTTTATGAAAAGAAATTGGGATTATCCCACACTTCAAATTTGACGCTTATTTTATTCTTAATTCATTAAATTATAATAATTAAGAAAATAAACACATAATTCACATAATACTCAAATATTTCACCATTAATACTTCAAAAAGAGTTACAAGGGTTAACCTAGACTATTACATCAATGATAATGCCTAGCCTGGAAACGCAGGTGTTACATTAGACCAGCGTTACCGAGTCAGAGATTACCGAAATACCTGAGGTGAGTCTTCTCACTATACTTTACCTAGTGTGGTAATAGAGTTATGTGATAGAGTATTTTAGAGTTATATGCCAGTGTAATTGCATGTTATTTATGTGCTATGATTTATTGTGATATGTGCTATGCATGATTCAGAGTTACAGAGTTAGAACCTTCGGGTCCACAAAGTTAGGGCCAGAGAGCCCATAGAGAGTTGGGGTTGGAGGGCCCCACTGAGACACATAGACCCGAGGGTCAACAGAGTTACAGCCTCGAGTGGCTATTATGTGGTATTTTGGTGAACTCACTAAGCATTTATGCTTACAGTGTTATGTGTTATGTGTTTCAAGTACCAGTGATGATCGCGGGAAGGCGCCGGCATGATTCGTACACACGCACACCGGAGTTTATGTATTTTGATCTTGGGTTTTGTACTGATACAATGTTGACACAATGTTTTTATTTATGATTACAAATGATATTTTATGGTTTTCAAAAGTGAAAAATTGTTCAAATTCTTACGGTGTTAGCCATGACTAAATTAATGTGTTCAACTACTAAGTCTTATGAGGTCATCACAAAATGGGAAATTGGGAAACAAATTTTTGGATATGAGATTGATTCTAATCTATGTCTCGCATCTATGCGATATCTTGTAGAAAGAAGGAATATTTGAGTACTTATCTTAGGAATAATGTCTGAACATATTAGAGTCTGGAGTTACTTTGGGAAGCACTCTTTGCAGTTTAATTTAGAAGTTATATTGCAGTGGAAGTTATATAATCATCAAAGCGGGAGACTGTTAGATTAGGTGTCTAAGACAATAACTAAATTGGTATATACTTGAATTATTAACAAAATCCATTTAGGTTGCCCTTAAACATGGTAATTAAATAGGATGACTTTTAGAGAGAGATTGGTTTGTTGATTTATTATATGATTAATAAATAACAATAAATGATTTATTAATATATGAAAATAATATATTAATTAGTAATAGTATTATTTAACTAAGAATTAATAAGAAATTAACTTAAATTAATTTTAGGATTAATTAGATTAATTAAAAGTCCAAGGACCTAAGTTGTAATTGTTCAATAATTAAACAAAAGGGTTTCCAGAACCTTCCTAAGATGGTGGACGATTTTTGGGACATATTCTAGGGTTTCTAGAATATCTGTTAAAGATAATTAGGATATTAGATAATTACCTAATATGAAATAATATTATTACATGAAAATTAAGGTTTCCAGGGTTTCCTATGCAGCTATAAATAGGGCCTTAACCCTTTTATTTTTGGCTACTAATCCTTCTTAAGATAATAGCTGAAAATTATATCCCCTCTCCTTTTTCTTCAAGTTTCCTTAGTTGCTAGGGTTTGGGTGTGAACCATCAGAGGCACATAATTTTTGGTGCTTACTACCAAAAGCTTTTTGAAGAAGGTTTGCATTGACTACTTACATGAATAATCAAAATGTATGTAAGCCCAAACTATTTTATGTTTTTCGAAAAAAACTATGGTTTCCATAGTGTTCTTTGATGTTCATATACTATAGTTTTCGATATTAAAAACATAGATCCAATTAGGTTGCATGTGAACTTAAGCGTTAAGTTATTTTCTACTACATGATCTTTTTATAACCTATAAAACATATCAGAACCATGGTGGCAACCATGATGCAAGCAACCTTAGTTGCATCGTCATAATGTTTCTTGTATGAGATAATATCTTTAGGAGTAACAGTGGACTTATAGATCTCAATAACTTGCTTTTCAAGGACATACTATTTTAACCCATAATTAATATTTCAGGCTAGGACCCAACTATGTAATTCACAATCTAGAAGAAGGATGTCTTAATCTAATTGTAAATTTAATAAAGGAAAATAAAGGAAATTTACGAATTTCAATCAATATGAAATTCCTAGATCTTTTACGATTCATTGAATCTATCAATGACAAGTTTAATCTTAGAATATGCTCTTCAATTTCTGACTGCGATACCGAGGATCACAAACAATATGTGAATAACCATGTAAACATGCCTGGCAAGAGCGTTGTCTTTTATCATATCTAATTAATGTGTCGGTTAACCACATACGCTCCATTAACAATGATAATTTTCGAGATGCCCATCAATTCTCTTTAATGTCCTTAGTAGTGTGAAGGTTAACCACACATGCACCACTAACAACATATTAAAGTATGTATTGTGTTTTCATGGCTTAGCATGCTTTTCAAATTTTTCCTAAAGTAACTAGAGTGAGATTTGTTTTAAAGAAAGTTTTATAATTTTATATCATTACACTTTTAATGATATTATGTCATATCAAATATGTTCGGCTAACGACCCTCCACCATACAAGGGAGTGGTGGGTGTGAGTGGATATCTAATGACGGTCATTTTATAGGTCGCTTCCTTATACCTCCTTATATTATGGCTTCGTGAATGAGTCATACTAGCTATTTGACCGACTTGTATTATACATATAATATATTATACTTTTAATATTGTACATATATGGTGTATTTTAAAACTTGTTTAAAATACTAGGTTTGATATTAAATTTTCAAAATTAATAAATACTATATTAATTTAAAATTAAACCTATTATGATTTAATATTTATCTTTTAATTAACTATTAATTAAATTAATTTGAATCATATGAGGATTAAATAACTATTTACTATTAAACAATTAATCAAATAATATAAATTTAATCCTAATCCAATCCCTACTAAATTTCGAAAATTATGGGTATTTGGTTACCCAATTTTAATTATTCTATTTTAAGACAATTAAAGCAATAATTATCAAATAAGGAAATCTTGCACACCCTAAGATTTTCGAAATCATGGGAGGAGGCTAAGGTTTCAAGAACCATAACACAAGTCGAAAATTCCAAGTCTTAGTGTTTAATTTCTATAAACTCTAATTTGATATATTCAACTAATATGCATATTCAATTGAAAACAATGACTCTGGCACCATTGATGGGTTTATAGGTTACAAAATTCATATGGTGGAAAATAACTTAACTCTTAAGTTCACATGTAACCTAATTGGATCTATGTTTTATCTATTAAATGTTATAAGCTATTAACATCAATGGATCCAGGAGAAACCCTTATTTAATCGAAATTTATAAGAGGGTTAAGGTTTACATACATTTGATTATTATTGAAAATAATCAATCAAATCTTTTCTTCAAAAGCTTCAAAAAAGCGAGCACCAAAAATCCCATGCCTCAGATAGTTCACACCCAAACCTAGCAACCAAGAAAACATGAGGAGATGAGAGGGGTTGAAAATATGTCTATACTCCTAGGATTATGAGTGGCTAATAAAATGATGCCAAAAGACCCTATTTATAGTTGATAGAAAACTCTAGAAACACTAATTTGAAATAAAATTATATTATTTTAAATTTAGAATTATCTAGTTTTCTAATTATCCATATTATACATATAGAATAATCTTGAAACCCTGAGGGAGCCACCAAATTCTGCCCAACCTTAGGATCTTTCTACAATTTATTTATTGTTTAATTATTAAATGTTTACAATTTTAGCCATTGCACTTTTAAATGATCCAATTAATACTAAATTTAATTCTAATTCATTTCTGATCAATTCTTAATTAAATAATATTATTTCTAATTAATATATTAATCACCTAGTATATTAATAAATAACTAACTCCAATTTATTAATCTTATAAAAAATCAATAAATCAAACTCTCTCTCTAAAAAACATTATAGTCAATTACTAGGTTTGAGGACAACCCAAAATGACTTTGCTAATAATTCAAGTATATATATATATATATATACCAAATTAGTTATTGGCTTAAACACCAAATCCAACACACGATGTTTGAGATGTCAAAGAGACGAGCTGATGGAAATAATTTGATGAGTTTGAATGTTAACGAGATATAGGTCCCCCATCTTATTGCATTTAAGGAGTGTTTAACGAGTCAAATAGATCTTCACAAATAAAAACAAACTTTGTCAAATTGTATTGAGAATTTGTTATCACGAGTAAAATAATGAACATATAGAAGATTTTTAATGATATTTGGTGTAATGAGCAATTGCTTAAGAGATAGGGTACAATACAATTAAGTAAGAGTGGTGGATCCCGATTTACTGATGGGAATATCATATATGTACTGACTTAAACAAAAGAATCAGAACATTTATCATTAATAGTAGTTAGTATACATGCATCGATGTTCAGGTGTAATGTGTCTTTTACACCCAGACCTTGAAGATTCATGGTAATGAACATTTGAGGTAATCAAGTTGATTGGCCTTAACATTGAATTTTTAAGTTGGTACCTTCCAATTATTGAATAGGAGGATGAGAAGTGGTCATAATATTTTCTTTCTAGACTGTATTACCACTTGTGCGTTAATTAGTTTTAGTGAAGTGGGTCAATCTTGTGGTTGTTGCTTGTCGTGAGTAAGATGAACAGGAAAAAAAATTTAGAGTCGGTCCATTAGGCTTACATAGGAAATTTATTTGAGATTTGAGGAGACAATGTGAACGTTGACGAATGTGAGAAATTTAGATACCCCAGTGATGAGCGCGAGACCCTTTCTTCTGTTAACCATAAATTTTGTCGCCACTATGACCACCGTTGACTGTTCTGTCTTCCATGGTTGTATCGACCTCCATCCACAAGAATTCTCACCACAATTATTGTAATTATTGTTTGATATTTGGACAACAATAACCATAAGAGAAGATGAACGCTCCTAGTGAGATCTTGAACCACCAGATTTTGAAGTTGATTCATCCTTTGCTCCTTGGAAGAAGCATAGATCGGGCCTCAAGAAATACTGGTAATAGAGAGTGGTGTCTTATGAGGCTTTTAACATAACTAAACTTTGAAGAGTGGTTGTTGATGGTGTACATAACTAAATTCTTCTACGGGACCGATGCTTCAATGTTATCAATAATATCCAATATGGTTTTGATGCGTGTATAATCCTCGCTAAGGAATTACCGGTGAAAACATTCAAGATTTCATTGTCGAGTTTGATTGCTATAGCATCCTTGTTATCATAGAAAAGAACTTTAAGCCTCCGCCAAACTTGATATGCGAATAAGAGAAGAAAACCATGGAAAATATTTACAGAGTCTCTAACAATGTTGATGTTTAATAGATATAGAGTTCAATGATGGTGAACTTTTAAATGAGAAAAAAAAACATTTTATTGAGTAAATGTGCATTATTAGATTTTATAAATATTTTTAATTAATATTTTTAATTGAACTTTTTAGAATTAAATGCATTTAAGAATAAACTATAGAATTATATGAAGATTAAAAAATAATATGATTTGACATTACATTAAACTTTAATGAGTTGAAGGGTCATGCATATCCTAATAGTATATGGTAAAAAAATTACAACTTGTATAACAATTTTTATGTCAAAATTAATTGTAATATATTATATTGTTATTAATGTGTGTATACAAAGATCTTTTATTAACAAAAATATATTTAATGAATAAGCAAGTCATTTTAATCTAATGCACTAGTTGTTTTTTTTTTTTTTCTTTTTATTATGAAGTATGTATTATTGGAATAAATGAAGTGAAATGCTCTTTTAGGATTTGGCTTTATTTTCACATTTGCCTGCACGTCCCTTATATACTATTCAATTGCCCATCTGTCAATATTTCGGACCCCATATATTTCTTTGGATCATCCCCATTCTTTCAATCACCTTCCTCCATCTCTCTCTTTCTCTCTCCGAAAGAAACTTCTGCCATCGATTCATTTCAGCCATCAGCTAGCCATAGTAACTGTATATGCATACAGATTTATATACATAAAGGCGCTAAGAAAAAGGTGGCGGATCTGTCAAGAAACACCTGGAGTCAATACATCATGGAAGTAGGCTTTCATCCGTTCACCCTCCATCAAGAAGACAATCAAAACTCACCGGAAAACAGTGATGAGTCGCCGCCCTCACCTCTGTTCTACGACACCAAGGCAGCATCTACTTCCTCCCCTAAAAGAAGGTGAGTCAAATTCTAGCACAAAACACATACAAACATAATTTAATTCCTCAAGAAAAAAGAGCCAACAATTTGCAAGATATGGATGAGTTAGAATACTTGTAAGACATACCTTAATTGTTGGAGTTTACAGTAGACGAGGGACACATAAAAGAGTGGTTCAAGTGCCGATTAAAGACGTTGAAGGATCTCGGCTTAAGGGTGAGACTAATGCTCCGCCGTCTGATTCTTGGGCTTGGAGAAAGTACGGCCAGAAACCCATCAAAGGATCTCCTTACCCTAGGTATTTACACATTCTCCATTTTTTGTTAAAAAAAATTTCGTTCCTAAACTAAGTTTGAAGTCAGTTGAGTTGTATTAAAAAAAAATTCTTTAGGATCGAGTAACCTGATCAGATTATATATTTGTAAATCGAGTGTGAACAGATGAATTGGATCAAATCATTTAAAAATAATGCAGTAAACCTTTCATTATATTATTTAGCTACGAAAATCGGACGTTGAACTAATCAAACCTGATTTTTAAATTGATAATCATTCAAAAGGAAAATTGCAGTATACTTTTAATTATATTATTTTCCATTGAAATCTTTAAATTCATTTCCTGGTCATAACTTTATATAATATCATCTTAGATTGGAGTGCCACTTTTATTTCTTCTAGCATGGTGACGATTTTTTTTATGTAAAATGTATTTTTATTAAAAGATCGATGTGTATATTGATAACAAAATTAAAATATGACAATAAGTTGTGAAATGTTTTATCAATAAAATTCATTGTCTTAATTTTAAATTTTATCATCACGAATTTAATAATGTATTTTTATATTTTATTTTCCGTTGTATTTTCTCTCAATAAAGAAAGTATCTTTTTTGTCAACGAAACACAACATGAATTTTATATTGATAATTATTCAAGAAAATTGTAGTAAAATATTGTATTTATCATATTGCTTTTAATATGTATTTTTTTATTAATTAAATCCATTGTCATAAATATTATCATCATGAACTGAAAGTTTGCATTTCTTTCTTCTGTAAATCGCTTGTTACAAGACCATACCACATTTACAACGACATTAATTTCGGATTGAAGCTTTCTTGAAATCTACAGTTTTAAATTTAGAAAATACATGCAATTGCATGTACAGATACTCATACTAGGCGATATGATTTACGCAAAGTGGTTATATATCTTCAATTTAATTCAATTATAATATTAACAAACCTCCATTATTGTTTTGTTTTTACAGGGGCTATTATAGGTGTAGTAGTTCCAAAGGATGTCCAGCAAGAAAACAAGTAGAAAGAAGCCGGACGGACCCTACAATGGTGATGGTGACATATTCATGTGAACACAACCACCCATGGCCGGCTTCTAGAAACCACAATCACCATCCCCACCACAACCCACCACCCGCGTCACCTCCAAGCGCCTCCACTCCAACCACTGAAGCAGAAACTTCCAATACAGACGACCAACTGGAAGAAGAAACACCAATTCTTATTACACAATCGGAATCTGATCAGCTTGAGCCTGAGCAGAAGTTCTCAAGTCTCGACGTTGGATCATGTGGACCATTTACGGACCAATATGGGTGGTTCTCGGACTTGGACTCCACGTCATCAACCATGCTAGAAAGTCCTTTGATGGATAGGGATGTAGTTGAAGACAGCGACATGGCAATGATTTTTTCAATTCGAGAAGATGAAGAGTCGTTTTTTGCTGATCTTGGTGAGTTACCGGAATGCACGACGGTTTTCAGACGGAGAGAGATAGAAAGGGTGGAGGAGCACCGCCGGAACTTGGCCCCATGGTGTGGCAGCACTGGGTGATGATAAGACAATCAATAAGTAATTAAAGAGAGAAATGTCGCCTAACAAAATTTGTCTTTACTGTGAGCAGGTATTTTTGTAAAACTCCAAGATTTGCATACAGTGCGGCTAAAGATACCAAAAGAAGCAATTTTAAAAACTTCCTGAATTTGAATTTTTATTTTATTATAGTTTTAGATATTCCAAGATTTCAGTGTCATGGAGATAAATAAAAAATGGGGCAATATGTTTTATTGGAGAGAAATATGTCTTGATGTGGGTGTAATTAAGCAATCCTTGGCACTTTAACTAGAGATGAAGATAGATGAACAGTTGCAATTTATTCATTTTAATTATTTTATTAGCATGTGATTGGGGTTACTATATATTCAATTATTTATAAACTATAGTATTCTCATCCTCTATTAAAATATAATTTTCGATGGCTACATTGTTATAAAATATATTTTTGTGGGAACCTTATTTCTAAGGCTGCTAGGCAATTATTAATTGTTAATTTCTGTCACAAAAGCTTATTATATATAAAACTAACCATTTTTGTACGTATTATACTAGAAAATAACTATATTTTCTTTTAAATTAACTATTTTTTCTGAAATACATTTCGGACCCAATTTTAGTCGGGTTACCCGAATAAAACTAGTCAAAAAACATTTGTATGGTCCCCACGTATATATAATGACCCACCTCCTACTGGAACGGCGTACAGAAACTTCTGAAAAAATTACGGACTCAACCTTTAAACTTCATTTCGAGGATAGGCATGGATTCGTTACGTGATTTCTTACTACAATTTTAAGAAAGATTTATTATACTTGTTGTTTGGAATGCAAATAATTAAGGTTCTGAATCCTTAGAACGATTCCAAATGGTTTTGTATTACAAGACGATGATTAATTTTTTCCCCCGTATTTTCGTTGTTAGAAACATCAGTAAGACTCATGGCAACTTGTACATAGTGTAAACAATCTTACATAACACAATAAACTATTTCCAAACTTATCCGATATATTATTAACTTTGTCTTGAATCCGAAGGATTATCCAGAATGAACATGCATACTATTGTTTTATTGATTGTTCTCTGCAACATTCCAAAAACACAGTCTGAAAATTTCGTTTTAAATTAGTAATAAAACCATATTCATTAAACGTCATATATGAATCATAATGAATGTATCTCAAAATATCTTAACAACTGTCAAATATATCAGAGTATAAACATCCCAGGCTGAACAAATGGTGTGTGTGCACTCCAATCTTCCCGAGCTCCTCTTTTGAAAATTGAGTACGTGAAACCAAAACTGAAAACCGTAAGCACGAAGCTTAGTGAGCTCCCCCAACTACCACATACCATAAAATAACATATAAAGCATCTAATGGGCCTTGCCCACTGCATCGGACCTAAGTCCGGAAACTGCATCGGACCGAAGTCTGGAAACTGCATCGGACCGCAATCCGGAACTAACTGCATCGGACCGAAGTCCGGAACTGACTGCATCGGACCCAAGTCCGGAACTGATCGGGACCTTGTCCCCTGCATCGAACCGAAGCCCGGAACTGACTGGACATAACATAGCATAAACATATCAACTAGCATGAATACATATACTGAATACGACATCGGAACAGAGTCCGAAACACATAACACAAAACATGCTTGAATCACAAAGACATCAAGCACTCTAACTATTGCATCGGACCGAGGTCCGGAACTAACTGAACGTAACATAACATAATCATATCATATAATATAAACACATATATTGCATACTGAATCGGACCATAGTCCGGAACACATAACTTATCTGTATCACAAAGACACCAAGCATAATGAACTACTGCATCAGACTGTAATCCGGAACTACTGCTAACTAAACGGGTCGGCATTGTGGCCGTAGACCCGTTCCTACTGGAAGGAAACTCACCTCGCACTGCTGAAGTCCTGTAGACACAATCCCACACTGTTGAAGTCCTGCAGACTCAACCCCAACTGCTGGATGATCGATTCCCTAACTGTCAACACCAAAATAACACCCAATTAATAATTGGGTTCTAACACATAACTATAAATACATGCTTTGGATAACTACTACATTACCCCTAGCTTGGCTTACCCAAGCCTAAGGCCCAATCCATAGGCCCAAAGTCAACTAGGGATCAAAGCCCAACATATGGCCCAATTTTCCAAATTGGCCCAAACCTCTATATGGACTTCCCTTAAGGCTCAATTGTTTAATCCAGTCCAAGATGTCTCATTCTAGGGGCCCAACATCATACAACCATCTAGGCCCTAACTATGGCCCAATTTTCCAAATTAGGCCCAATCCTTCATATGGACCTTACCCTAAAGCCCAATAAATTATTTTAGTCCATTTGCTTGTTCTTGGATGGCCCAACACAAAGCCCAAGTAAAATTAGGGTTTCACATAAAACGATAACTAGGGTTAAGTGTTTCCTACTTAACCCATTAAGGACTTAACACTCTAGGGACTTAATCCATTAAGAACTTAATCCATTAAGTCCATTATTGCTTAGGTTAATTTCTACCAATGATTATTATTTAATATTCACTTATTAAATAATTCTCGTGTGTGTGCTGATAATTTCTCAAATATTAGGATTTTCTTAGTTAGTCCATTAAGGACTTAGTTTATTACGTCCTTTACTCTACTAGATAAATGGCCTGGAATAGTTTGGGCTTAATTCACAATCCAGTCTCAATGGCCCACAAGCGGCCCAATTAGTCTAAGGCCCAATACTCATAATTAGGGGTTTCCACCCAAACATGGCCCAAAACCAATCTCTAAGCCCCTTAGGGTTTTCTAGCGAGGCACCACCCACTACCACCTCGGGTAGTGGTGGTCGATGGCAGCTCACGGGGGCAGCCACCACCTTACGGTGATGGTTTCTATTATTTTTATTATTATCCAAATTAATTACAATTACAATGTTTGATCAAAACATAACCACACATACACTAACACACTAACTAACACACACACACACACACAGCCACACCATGGTGGCCGACGGTGGCACAAGGCGGCAACTACTTTTTCCAGCCAAATAAGCTACCCACACAACACATCCACACAAAAATAGACACCCACCGGCAGCCCATCATTGTTCTTGATGGAAAAGTTGACGGCAGCAACAACCTATCTTCTACAACAGTCCGTCAATGAGGGTGGCAGCTAGGGTTAGTGGTCTCGGCTGGCGAACTGCAGCAACAGAAACGACCGACGATGGTCCTTGCTCGGTCTTGGTTAATGGCAACCTCAACAACCATCATCACGGAGAGAAAAGGGTAGAGGTGGCGGCGGCATCTTAACAGTTTTGTTACCCATCCGGCAACGACATCAACAATATAACAGTAACGGCGAGACATGAAGGCTTTTAAGGTGGCAGCTGATTAGAAGAAGAAGAAGGAAGGACGGCTATCGGACTCAGAGTGGTACTAACGCCTTAACAGATGGTGAAGCACGGCGGCTTCGTTCTTCAACGCTCGAGAATCCTCCCCAGCTTGTTTCTCCGGCGATATTCCGTTCGTTAGCATCCCACACTTCGCCATGTACAGCTCCAAGTCCGGTCTCGCTTGGTCCTAGTTGCTCACGGTGTCGCCGGCAGCAGATGGCGACTTGGTCCGCATCGGAGATGTGAGCAGAAAGGAGGTGGCAGCTAGGGGGGTCACAAGGTGGTGTCGGCTGAATGAATCCTTAAGGTTAGGGTTTCACATGTCATGGGTTAAATATGGAGGCTGCACATAAGGGTGATGGGTTCACCCGTGTTTTCATTAAACTTTGGACTATTTTACCAATATCGGTCCCTCCCTACTATATTTCTTTTTAATTTAAACCCAAAATAACTCTGTAACTTACTTACAACCCCCAACTATCAAAATTCTTCACGAATTAGTTTGGGACTTACATTTATTAATTTATTTAAATAAATAGGGCGTTAAAACTCTCCCCCACTTAAGTTAGATTTCGTCCTCGAAATCATTCCTTACCATACCTTACACGCTAACTACTCTAGTAACATGGTCACCATCCTGGGCACACCCTAGCCTTTCTAGGGTAACTGTAACCAACCCTCGCAGGGTTCTAAAATCCACAGATAAATGAATTCCTCGCGAAAAGATCACATCTATTCCGTCTGATATCTGCTGCCTTGAGATGGTCTGATTCCCTGACAGACCACTCATACTAAATCAATATCGATGAACTAGCCTGCTTATCTCTCAAGTGACCCCTCAACATCTCGCTAGCTCAAAATTCCACTACAAAACAAGTTCACAAACCTAATTATCCATGTAGATCACTTATACATGGCCAACGCTTTGATAATCCCGCTGTGAGTGAGTTAGCATAGCCCAAGCTATCTGTGAGTCTAATCGCACATGAAATTCCAAAATACCATTACCGCTGGAGACTCAAAACCATCTGAAACACTGATTTGCCTAAAAACACTGAACTGCCTGAAACACTGACTGCCTAAATACTGAACTGCCCGAAACACTGAACTGCCTGAAGCACTGAACTGCCTGAAACTATATGCTGCATCCCAACATCTACCAAGACCTACATGGTCTCATATTTCTTCCAATCATCTGAAATACCGGGTTCCGGCCCGGTTGCAGAGCCAAAGGACTCCCACTTAGTCGCCTCACACGACTTCTGAACAAATTCCTTCTCTAGAACTAGCTGCCACTAGTTACCACGCCACTGAGGCTCTAATAACTTTTTGATTTAACTGATCGAGTCCATACGTCAAATCATGATGTCACCAAACCCAAGGCTAAAAGTGATTGCTACATGACCACTCGTAGCCTTATGCCATAAATGACCTTTGCTCTCTTCTCTGTAGTGGCGTTTCTACAGCTTATCATTAGCTTAACCAAGTTTAATCCGTCTGGGAAACTCCGAAATCCAATATGTGGATTTCCATATCCTTAATGCTACACTCGAACTGGTGGGTACTACGGTTCTTTTCCGCGTCCTAACAATGCACTCACGCTATCTACCAACCTATTGAAGGCCGCGACTACACCCACAAACTCACATCACTCTTGTACTATCTGCTAATCTTGTGAATGCTACAGATACACCCGCAGACTTACAACACTTTAATACTATATGGCTGCTAGTGAATGCTACGACTACACCCGCAGACTTACAACACTCTGATACTATCTGGTTGCTAGTGAATGCTACGCCTACACCCGCAGACTTACAACACTCTAATACTATCTAACTGCTAGTGGATGCTATGGCTACACCCGCAGACTTACAACACTCTGATACTATTTGGCTGCTAGTGAATGCTACAGCTACACCTGTAGGCTTACAACACTCTC